GTTAAAATAAATATTTTTTTAAATCACGTTAAGACAAACTAAACTGATTTGGCTGAGATATGTGAACAATTCAATGGCTTTGCAGGCAGAGGATTTAATAAGTGATACTCTACACATACCTAAGAAAATAATTTAGTTTTGACTCGGTTCACTTTGTTATAAATACTGCCTTGATGAAGCAGAAAAAAAAAATTAACTAAAGTTATTCTAAAGGTTATATTTAGATTAAAATTATTTTAAAGTCCTATTAAAATTAGTAAAATTTAGAGAATGGCAGTATTCCTGTGATTGAAAAGGCTGATGTATGTTGTTTTTCACTCAGTGCATCATTAAAGAGGAGGCAAACTGTTATGTTCAGCTGGGCTGAACTGAAAATAATAATGGAACTGAGATGGGTGTGTTTGAAAATTTGAGAAATCTGACCAGTATATGCAGTGTTTCTCTGGAAAAGCAGATAATTTCAGGAATGACCTCATCCCAGAGTATAGATATCACCTACTTTGTGGATCTAAATTGACCTTTCTAGATGATTTCATGTAAGTGAACTCTATACTGTAATGAAACTATCTTTAGTGTCTTATACAATTTTACAGTAGTATTTGTTGTGAAAATGAGTCTTGTAGATAACTTATGGGCTTGATCAATTATTCTAAGATGTTTGCAAGACCTTGAAATTATTATCCTTCTGTTATGAGAGAGAAAATCTTTATCATTGGATGCACAGCTGGATCTCTTCTTTAATGTGCTTGGAAATTAAGAGAGGCTGATTTTATAAGTCATTACAGTAGAATATTTTTTGGCTCTGCTCCATTAAAGTGGGTGGGATTCATCTGAGATACAGCTGAGATCAGGTTCAGGCTGAGAAGACTGAGGTATTTCACTTGCAAACTCTACAATGAATTTTTAATAATGAATATAATCAGCAGTATTACCAACCACTTAATGATGCAGAGGCAGGTTTACCCCAATGCACTTGCTTATTATATGTGTTCAGGGAACAGCAGTGAACTTCATGTTACAGGAGTATTTTATACACACTTTGTACACACGAGAAGAAATTACTGAAAGTCTGAGCTTGGATTTTGAAATGTGAACTAAATTGTGTTTTATGGTGCTACTCTTTTAAACCTTTTTCTTTTCTTTTTTTCTTTTTTTTTTTTCTCAGAAAAGGAAATGCAGTAGAAGTTGGATTTGTTAATAGCTTTCTCTGACCTGTTATGAAATATTTCAAATTTGGTAAGTAGGTAAGAGAATTAAAATAAATTGCTTTTACAAGGGGGTATAATTTTTTAAATAATTTTTCATGGACACATTTGTTTTGGCTAATTCCATTGATTATGAACTATATCTTTCTCAAAGCTTCTTTGGGTGGATGAAAAGTTTTGTACTATGCAAATACAGGTTGTAATTATCAGTTAGCTCTTGTTCCTATTGGCTATGCACCAATTTGTTCTAATACAGTTAGTATGAAATGTGTGGTTTCTGCTGTAACTATTAAAATTTCAGTCTTTGCTGTCAGTAGTGGACATGATTTTCAAAGTAAACTCCAGTGGCAGGTGAAATGCCACAAGTTTTGAAAGAGTCAAATATTAAATATATAAAATTAGAATATATAATCTTGCTCCACATAAATGAATGGATAAAATTCCTTTAATTTCTATGATCAGGAATTTGGCCTGAAGCATATGGACTTAATTAGGAACTGAGATCTTTAAAAACATGGCCTCTGTTTTAGGTAGGTCTGTGTCAGGGTCAAGGTGGGAGGGGCACCAGGCAAGTGACTGCATGAGTTTCAGGAGGGAAATGATGGATTTCCAGAGGACGTTGGGTGAGCATGCTCTTTCCTCCAAGCAGGGCACTCCAGGACTTAGAGTGACATTTTCCTGCTACCTACATTTACCTGCTATGAGTTCTTGACTAGAACTCGTGTGTGGGACATGTGTTAGGGTTGAGGTGAGATTTTTATAGGCCCAGCAGGCAGGTCACAGACAAGGTTCACATCTGTTTGCACCTTGTGCAAGGCCCACACCCTTAAATTATAAGCCTCTTCCTTTTCAGCCATGACTCTTCTCTCCTTTCTGCACCTTCATAATCAAGGTTGCAATTAATTCTCTAACACTTTGGAACTCAAGATTGGCACATTACAGCCAAATAAAAAAGAAGTGAGATGGTAACTGAGATGGAGAGAGGTGTTTACAATGTGGAGTAGCAGGGTTGTGTAGTAGTGTATAATTCATGTGTGGTCTGCTGAAAAGTGCCAATCTGTGCAATCCATAGTGGCAAAAAGCCAGAAAAGAGGCTACAAAAACTGGCACCAAGTGAAGACAAGGTACTACAGTTTGAGTAGAGGTACTAGAGGTACTCTAGCTACTTAAGAGTTAGTAGCCCATGACATGTAGGGGGGAAGGAAGATATGGGGGTTTAGTGCCTCTTTCTATGCAAAGCCTGACAAATCAAATTCTGACTGACTTGTTACAAAACAAAATGTCAGCATGTCATCAAGTCATAAGGATGGAACAGTTAAATCAACACAGATTTTATCTGGGGAATGTATGGAAGAGCAAAGATAGGGAGGTGTTGAAGGCAAGAGAAGACCACAGAGGCTCAGTTGGAAGGATCTGTGCAATGTTCTGTGAAGATATGGCGATCTCCCTCCTCCAGTGCCCACCATTTGTGAAGGGGCCATGGCTGTAGTGCAGGAAATCTGCTGGCAGACAGTCCAGACCCACATGAAGTGTGCAGAGAACCAGCTTGGTCTCTTACCTCATGGGATTTGAAATGGGATTGGTGTTGTCTGTTTTCAAGATGCCTTTCTATTCCCAAGAGATTCCCTTATGGATATTGTCAGGGAACTTACAAAAGTGGCTTTTCTCTCACGTGAGGATTTGAAAAGCAAAAGGCTCATGATTTTCAAATCATGCAACATAGCTTGATATCACTCATGAAGTGACACACAAGTCAATGGGGGAAAAACAAATATAATAAGTGAAACATTTTCAGTATTTTTCTTCAGTGGAAAAGTACAGTGACACTTTAAATGTACTGAAAAAAAAAGGCAGCTAATATTTTAATTTTGTATATATAAATATGTATGTGGAAGCTGTTATTAACACACATCTTACTGTAATGATTCATACAGATGTTAAGTAGGATTATGAGACAAATAAAGGCATAACCATTCTCTTAAATCATGCTATACTGATCAAACAGTTCTGTGCAACATCCCAGCTATTCACTTACAACAAGAAAAAACATGATTAGTGCACATTAGTAGTGTGGTAAAATGGTAATAGTCACCAAGTACACATTACCCAAGCAAAGAGTACTAAGAAGCAAAGCCAAGTTTACCATTATGACCAATTTACACTCATTTAAGTTATTAAAAAAATAATATTAATTTCATCAAATAACTAATGTAAGCTTGTATTTGCTGATTCAACAAACCTCCAAATGCTGCTTAATTTTAAGCATGTAAGTTAATAGTTTTCATCCTGGGGTCCATAGGTGCCTGGAAGACCCTGGCCAACAGAAATAAGAAGAAAATTTTTAAAATTCATTGTTCTGCTGGTAAACTTACAAGAACAGCATGTTAAAAAAGGACAGTTAATCTAAACACTCTGCCTTCTTGTCCATCTGAAAGTTAAACATGTGAGATTATGGAATTTCAAAACTGTAAGCAAACTATACATTAATTCAACTTATTATTAGACATACTAGTTTACTGCTGTAATAGTTATTACCATCACTTAAATGTTGGCTGTATAAATCTCTTTATTTTTATGTTATACAGAATAAAACCAAGAAACACTCTGGAATACAAATAGATTAAACAGTGAGTTGGAGATACACTATGAGTATTTGTCCCAAGTGATATCATGGCACAAAAGTTAAGGCAAATTCATTTCTCAGTTTTAAACCTTTAAAATGCTACAGGGTGGCAACTACTTTCTCTAATACAAATCATTGTGCCTTGTGTTCTTACCAATTGCTGTGTCCAACAAGCCCTTTGGTCAAAATAAAAACTGATGAACAGACTCAACAATTTATGTTGAGCTCTTTTATGGAGCCACATGTGTGTGACAGCATTCATATGGCAGGTCTGTACCTTGTAAAGAAATAAAAAGAGTATTTTTGCTGTGGCACCATTGTGTATTTGTAGCTGAGTGGAGAGGTACGGCAGGATTAGGAAATAAGGATGATGTGAAACACAAAGATGATCTAGTTGGTTGGGTGTTAGTTGGTTGGAAGACCAGAGGTAAAAATAAATTTGGATAATATTTCCGGCTGAAATTGTTTCCTGTTCTGCCACGTCATTGCCCTGTGGCCTCCTGAGAGTCACAAAGACCTAGAAAATCTGAAGATACTCAGGCTCCTACCTTCCCTTTGAAAACAATAAGGATATAAGTATCTGAATACCTTGGTGAAAAAAAGCCTTTAATCCTTGTGTTTGCTTCAACTCCCTTAGAGATAAATAGTGCCTCTCTGAGAATGTGATCATTTAGGTGTGAAGTTTCAAGATATTGTAGTAAAGAGGCCGCAGAAGTACCTAAAGCAGCTGCTTTTCAGCAGGTAGAGACTTCACAGCAGCATTAAATTTTGGCTGTTTTGGTATTTGTTTGTTATCTGCAGCAGTTTTGGTTTTTATTTTGCTTCTGTGAGCACTCTGCAGGGGCTACCTTTGGTCTTGGTTATCACTACAGATTCTGCTTTTATTGTTGTGTTATGGAAAAACCTAGTACCTTAGCCTGAAACTGTTTGGAGTTCAGGATAGTAGAGGAATGATGGGATTTGAATCATCAAAACTATGAATCAGATGAACAGGATTTTTTTTTTCAACAAAAGTTTATTATAATTTTAATTTTTCTTTGCAGAGCTCTGTTTCTTGAAGCACTTTCCCTAAGCTAAGGCCAGAAAAGCCAATGCTCACATCTCTTTTCATTCTCCACATTTTCTGGCACAAAGATTGATCTTGAATTTTATTTTTTCCCCAGGAGGAAGAACCCAACTGTACAAAATAGATTCAGATCTCTACTGGGTACTTTCATAAAACTAATGGTAAGTTGCTGTGCTCCCAGCTGGGCATGTTAGCTTTCCATCTTGATTTTGGATAAATGCTATTCGAATAGAAGGTATTTATTGTTATTATATGCTGAGCTGAAAAATTAATGCAGAACTGGGTCTGTAGTCCTGACTAATAATTTTGCCAAAGGGAGAGGACAACTGGTCTGGAGAGTCAGTAGAAAAGCTCTGCCAAATATAGCCATAGGAGAAGTGCAAGGTAATGAAAGACTGAAGTAAAATGAAGTGCTTGGCAGCTTCTGGAACAGTTGAGAACATCTCTCTGCAGTATTCACAGAGCCTGCCTCATCAAAGTCTCTAATGATCAACCAGCTTAGAGAATGGGATACCTGCTATGGAAATGTACAGGACCTTGCACAGTGGAGGGAGAGGATTTGTCATGGAGCCAGACAGATGGCCTGACTTCATCTTAATTAACCTTAAATACCCTTTGATGCTGAGAGTGCACTTATCCCAGGTTGGCTGGTCTGTTCTGATGGAACAAGGATAAAACCTCTCCCCAGAATGCATGGGGACCTGGCTCCTGCAGGCACCACCCCACTCACTCCTTGACTTTAGGGGTTGATGCTCACACCATGAACGTCTCCAGACATCACCCCGTGTGTGTGGTCACCTTCCCCAGCTCCTGGGGGGTGTTATAGAAAGGGCTGTTGTTCCCATGCTGCAAGTTGAGCCTTGGTGGGCTGTGCCTCTTACTTAAGCTCACAGCTGGTCTTTGAAAGAGCAGGAGTTGTAGCCCAACCCACATCTCCCACCTTGCACCAGACTGGGTGTTCTTTGCCTCATTCATCCTTGCAGAGAGTGAAGCAGGTACATCCAGTACAACCCACATCTCCCTGGCAGGAGAGGAGGGGATCATTTTGCAGACAGTAACACACTGTATAGTGACTCCAGGATGACAGGGTGACATCCACAAAGCCCACTTTGGTCTCCTACCCAAAACCATGCCATTGGGGAATTGTGAAGCTCAGAGTCATCTTGACTAGTTTCTGTTCTGTATATATGTACTGGGGTTTTGCCATACTGCCTGAGGCAAACTCCTGTCAAACTAAATTACATATGGTCACACAGGTGCAGATGATGAACTGCCTACAAGCTCATAATAGAGGTGTTAATGTAGAGGTTGGTCTAGAACAGCTCAGATCTGGACTGCTCAGCCTGAATTGTATCTTCAATTAATTTAGATTTATGTGTAACTACCAATCCCTACTGAGTCAATTAAGTGTCTGCATCCAGAACTGGTAAATTAGGTTTTTGGGACAGGGAAATATTTTGTCAGGGCAGAGAGACAACTGACAAATAAATTTCAAGTTGTCTTGGAGACCTGGAGAGAGAGACACTCTGTTCTGCAAAAGCAGCAAGGGCCTATGGTATGGTTCTAAAAGTCATATGGCATCACCTGAATTCTGAACCTCCTTTTATTCTAAGACTTAGAAGTTCAGGCCAGACACTGTTAGAACTAGTCAGTGATGGCATGGCAAAGTGAGCTCTACCCACACACACAGTCCAGTGATCCTATGGACACAATTCTGGAATCCAGCACAGACTTCTGAGAGGTACTCAGCAGCTTCAACCCTCTAAAAGCCCCTGGGAAGGGAGGATGCTCAGCATGTTGTCAACGTGGACTCTAAAGTGCATTTCAGTTGTGTGCCTACCAGGCTCACAGGTGGGATATTTAAACTCTCAGAACTCAGTTAAATAAGCCCAGTTTACCTCACAGCCAGACTAAGTGCTAATTCCTCAGTTAAGATTATTTCCACATTAAAATGGAATGGATCCATTCCATGTTGGCTGCTTAGTACTTGTAAGAACTAAGGTCAAAATATATTTTACAGTTTGGAAACTGTATTTTTGTCATTCACTCAATAGTGTTTGAAATCTTCATGTTTGAATTTCACAACAATAATAATAGTATTGCTTTTGAATGAGAGCTCAGCATAGCAATTATCAGCTGAGACAAAATGAATGTTTAAAAAATTATCACTATCTGAACCTAAGCTTTTATAGTGCAAGATGTTTTAATCTAATTGAGAAGAAATCCTGATATTCTAATAAAATAAAGTAACTGGAGACAAAGTGAAATAAATAGCAGCAATAACAATACTTCTTGTGATTAAATATTTCACATTTCAAGGATACCTATTCACAAAACACTTAAATAGCTCATCAGTTTGGCCAATTTCTCTTGGTTGTGAGGAATGGAATGTGTTAATCTGAGTGGACATTATCACTGTACATCTACTTTAGAGAGACAGTTTATGTCCAAGCTTTTGCAATTAGACTGCCTCCTGTCTGTGTAAATAAATCAGTCACAGTGCACATTTTGGTGAACCACAGTCACTTGGAGGCTCGGATTCTCTGTAGATCAAAGGGCAAAACACTTCACAGAAGAGATCAGCTGAATGGGGAGAGCAGAGTTATGGGAGAAACTTGCTAACTGAGGAGCAGGCAATGTGCTCTGGAGGTTGTCAATCACGTTGTGTTCCTTTGATACAAACACATGTTTATTTTTAGTCTCTTTGAGCCTTGCTAGTACTGGGCAGCAGGGCCAATGTACAGCAGGGTTCTCAGCCAATGTGCTGGAAACTGGGAGATCTCAGCACTTCTCACAGTTAGTCCCTAGACTGGGACAAGATGGTGGCCATCCTGAAAAATAACCAGAAATTAAGATGGCACTTGAATTTCCAGGAAAATGCTTCTGTGAGTGTCTCAGTATTTAATAAAGGGTGTCTGATGTGCTCAGCTGCACAAGCATACACAAATATATAAATATGGCTTTTCTAGATTTGAATCTATCCTTACAAAAAATAAAACAACATAATTGATGTCTGTGGCATTACACCTGGTTTCTAGAAATGCTGAATGGGGCTCTTTGTACAGGTCCATAAAGTTCTCTTTACTACACATGTAATTATATTGATGTAATGTCTGTCTTTCCCTTTTATGATAAAGTAATACACAAACCCCTTCTAACTCCTTACATCTTTTATTGTTTTATTTTATAAATCTAAAGAAAAAGTGGTTCATAACAGTCTTTACAAACAAGCTGCATCTGTTTAATATTAAAGTGAAAAAAATCATAATAGAACCATTACATAGAATATCCAAATAACCTGAGGAAAAATAGCATCCATCTGGCCATTGGTATAACTGTTTTTTACATCAGTTGGATGTTTCTGGGATTGTAAGATTCAACACTTATCTTTAAGTAGAGTGAGTTTCTAAAGATGTAGCATCCAGAAACTTGTGAGTAATCTGTCTGCTTAGAAGTACAATATTGTGTTACCAGATCTGCTGAGCAAAGGCACAATAAAGTTAATCCTTTGGTTCTGGAAAAGCTGGAGGTATTGCAATGGCAGATGTGCTGAAACAGAAGTGTTTATGTTTGTTAGGGCATGTGAGGCAGCAACTCTGCCAGCTCACAAGTATTTGAATTTCCTGCAAACTTTTACCTAAGGGCTGTCATGGGGAAGGAAAAGAGCTCAGAAGGAGTCTCTGCACCCCGTTGGCAGACTGGAAAACCTCTTTTGGTGAATTGGTTGGCACACACCTGCATTTTCTCATTGAACTTATTCCCTATGAATGGAGTCATTATGGCATTAAAGTGCTTTTGGTATATGGGGTACAGTATTACCAAGATCAATACTCTGTTATATTTAATATATTTTCCACCTCTTACTACACCATATGGAAAAGAATAAAAATTTTAGGTCAAGGATTTTGTTCTGTGGAGGTGTGAAATGACTCTGGTTTGGCCAGAGCTTAGAGATGGAGCTGCCTTCTGGACCTTTGCAAAATTGAGCTCCCCAGAGAAGCCTGTCAGACTTTAAACTCACAAAGCCAGGTTGTGCAGAGCACAAACAAGAAGGGTAATCTTTTGATGAGAGGAAACACAAAGTAGCTGGGTAAGAACTAAAATAAAAATCAGTCATTTATAGCATTTTCCCTGCCTACAAAATCTTTTCTGGCAGGTCCTTTCTTCCATGCCTGGTAACAGTTGACTTGGGGACTTCAGATTGCAGTTAATTCTGTCCAAACTAAAGAAAATCCTTCCTTCTGTCCCTTTTAATGCTTTGCTGGCTGGTGGCTGCCCTTTCCTACCATCATTGTGGGACCTGCTGACTTCCAGCTCCGTGCTATATCCATCTTTCCCAAAAGAAGGCACAGTTTCCCCCTTAGCAAGAAGGAGTTTTTGACTGGCCACTTTTCAGGGTCTGATTATACAGAGCTATAAAAAAGATGGTGATGCAGGAGGTCACAGTAGCACTTAAAAGAGTTTGTGCTGGGGATTTCAAAACATTATGTCACTTTCCCTTCCCTCAGAAGCTTTTCATTGAAATCTCAAAGGCAATCAAAACACAAATGGAAATGGACTCCCGAAAGAGTGAAAAATTTCGACCTCACCAGCAAAGTGGCCACAAAAGACCTGGGAATAGACCACAACTGCAGTGGTTCCCTTTCTATTTTCCATTCCATACCAACACAGTCAGACACACTCAGTTTGTTCTTTGGATGACCTGAACCCAGCTCCTTGGTCTTCTCACAAAAAATATCCTAGTTCTACATCCAATGCATTGACAGTTCTGTTCTTCCAGAGGAAAAAATCATTATGAGGAATGTCAGCAAAGCAGAGGGAGTCCCAGAGGTCCAGTATAAAAAGGAAAGACCAGAAGCCCCTGAACAGTACTCAGTGTTGGACAGGGAATGGCAGTAGTTGGAACAAAAGACAGAACAGTGTTCCTGACATAACAGTGGTATTTCCTCTGTTGTCACAGCTGAGCATCAGCACAGGGCTTCATCAAGAGCCAGAATACCACTGAACTAACTCCTGTATAAATACAGATTAAGAGGCCAGTCATTGCCCTGGACCATTTACAAAGTATGTAAGAGAGGCACAAAGAAACATCAATTACTGATGACATAATAAACAATAATCATAGAAATATAACTTTAAAATTTTGGTCTGATTTTTTTTGCAGATAGTTTCTCAGAAGAGTTTACATCAGCATTTTGAAGGAGGACAATGAGATTACTTGAAGTCACCAGAGCTGCAGCAGCATTTTGGATGGATGGATGGATGGATGGATGGATGGATGGATGGATGGATGGATGGATGGATGGATGGATAACAGGCAATAGGTTAAATCTGCACTCATCAAAAACACTAAAAAAAATGGAAATCTCACCATCAGTACATAATATAAAGAGTGCAGGACCTTTAGCTTTGTGTAAGAGGAGAGAACTGTTAAAGTTTCAACAGAACTGAAGCATGAAGACCTAGAGAAGCTTAGGTCAGAAATTATATCAAAGTATGTGTGACAAGTAGGAAGAAGATTCTGTCTGGGTGGTTCAGCCTAATTCAGAAAAACTCCTTGTTGACATCATAACAAGCTCCCCAAATAGGCTTTAGGGCTCTTACTTGCCATGTGTAGTTTTTACTGTGCTTGGTGGTAGCAAGCAGTCCATTTGCAAAATCTGAAGAGAAAAGGAGGTTATTTGGAATAGAATGTTTACTGTGATATTTCTGTGGAGGGCTATGTTTTCAGGTCAGGTATAAAAGACATGAGAAAATAATCACAACAGAACTTGTGAAACTTCTAGAGGAGAAAAAGCCAGATGAAGAAAGTCCTTCACAGAAGTTCAGGAAGATAAGCCATCAGGTTGCTCATGCTCAAGGAGTAGATATCTGGCAAATCAGAAAGAAAAATTATTAGGTGTTGGTCCTTACATCAACAAGAACCTGTAAGAGATTTTGCATAAGCAACTTTGGTGGAACATTAAAGTCAGATTCCAAAGGGCTTGAAATAAAAGTAGAACAGAAGGCTAATATAAACTCCAGGCAGTGATTTAGATTTTGTGTTCACTATTTGCCTAGGAGTGGAAGGGATCTTGTAGATTACCAAGTCCATTCCTCTGCTGCTATGAGCAAGAGTATCTCATAGTCTATACATTTACTAAGCTTCACAAAACAATTCTATTTATTTACTTCTTAGTTTTAGTGGAAAGAACAGTGGTATAGAACTTCAGTCTTTTGATAATCAGAAACTTTAATTTATGGGCTGGATTTATTAATTGCTCATTAGTAATCATTTGTTCTTGTGTCGTCATTGTCCATTTGCTTAAGTATCTTTTCTCTCGCTTTAGTGCCTAACCTGAATGTATCTATAGAGAGCAATTATATTCACTCTCAGCATGAGTGAGCTTAGAGATGAAAGGGAGAAGGAAGCAAATATGTTGCTTCAGCCTGGACCAGCTGGAATCTCTTTGTTCAGACTCATGTAAAATGTTTTGCAGCAGCTGAATCTGGAAGCAGCATTTGTGCAGCTCATAGAAATATGATACAGATCTCACCACCTCACAGCCAGATGAGATGGGAATGGACATAGCAAGCAGGGATATTGTTTGAATATCCATGGGTGCTGCGGACCTGAGAACACCAAAACTACAGTCCAGCTTAGCTGGAGAAAAGACATCTGCTTTTAACTGATGTAAACACCCATGGTGAGCAATTGTAAGCATTTCCCATTATCCCTTGTATTTTTCTAGTGTTGGGAGTTAGGTGTCTGTCTGTAATGGGTTATCACCACCTGTGGGGCTTATTTTGAAGAGACGTTGCCTGCTGTAGACTCTGGAGGCCATTCAGTCACTCTGGAGTCTGTTCTTTCCTAGCATTGTTGTAAGGCTGTGTCCCAGAGATCTTCACACTCAGCATAATTACAGAAGAGTGGGGATTGCCCATCATTCAGACTTTGTGTACAAATTTCTAACACAAAATAGATTGAATAATTCAGTCACAACATTCTCCACCATAGCATGTGTTCAGATAAGTGTCTTAAAAGAGGACTCCTTAAGGGAAAGGAAATTGCACTAAACTATTATTTTGCTTGGTGGCATTTCATTGCCAGCATCAGTAAGCACAGCTGAACATCTATACTAAGAGTTGTTGGATACTTTAAATGTGTGATTGTACCTCACCCCTTTGGATGTAAATCTGAACTGTCTGAGAGCAGTTTGTTGTGAATTGGTTTTTTCAAACACATTTTTTATAGGAAGGGTTTTTAGATCTAAAACTGTTTATTCCTCCTATATGTGTGCCATTCATGTTGAAAGTATGATTTTTTTTCCAATCAAAATTTTCTTGGGATCAACTTCCATCAACTGCAAAAGCAATGGAAAGTTAATGGCCTTTAATTCTGTCCAAGATGCATAATTTATAGTAAAATCAAGAAATAGAATAAGATGATGACCATTGCACCTGCAGTAAATTAGTTACAATGTGGAATAATGCATCTCATCAGCTCTTTTCTTCTGGAAAGTGGTGTTTTATCTTGGCTTAAAGCTAAACCCTGCCCTCTCCTTGTAACTGACCCTTGTGCATCTTCATGTAAGGGCAGAATTTGTACAAATTTGAGCTCTTCTCACAGTTCAGTACAAACCATTCTGTTTTTCCTAAGGGAGAGAGATATACAGGAGTAGTGCAGGTCAGGGTTGTGGTGAGCCACATAAGGAAGCCTGTGCAGTACCTGATTTAAGTGTAAGATTCTCACAGGGTTTTCAGAGAGGAAGAAAAATGGTGTGGTTGGCCATGGTGTTTTTCAAAGGACTCTGCATTAAGATTCTGGAGACAGGTTTGAGTTCACCTGGTCCTTTGCCTTGTGCTTGCCTGATCAGAGAGGGAAGGCCCCATGGCCATGGAGGAAAGAATGTTGCAGTAAATAATCAGAAAATCAGTTTTGGCAGCCTACTCAGTGAAAAGGAATGAAGAAGCGGAGGTGGCAGGAGGGTTTTTAAGGCTTTCAAGAAAGGTGCTGGTTTGCTCCAGCAGCAAAACACACAACTGAAACAAGGAGAAACCCAGTGTGGAAAAAGCCTGTTGGGTACTTGTCTTTGCACAACAACTTCTTCATCAAGAAAACAGCTTAAACACAATGAGTTGTGCAATAAAACTCCAGTTTGCTGGCAGCGCCCTCACCTGTCTCCTCAAAACATCTGAGACACTGGTCTGGGTGCAGATTTAAAATAAAGGTGACTGAAGGTTGTCAGCAGACTGAAATCAGAAAAATGTGGTGACCAGGCACAGAAGGATGTACTCATGTGCTTTAGAAGCATGGGGCCTGCATCTCCCACAGGGAGAAAGAATTGGACCATAAAAAGCATTTTTCTGAGTCAGATTAGACCTGCAGACCACTAGCTGGACCCAACAGCTAAATAAATACCTCTCTAGGAAAATTTTAAATTCAGAGACATTTTAAAAGGAAAATATAAAATGTTTCTCTTCAGGCTATGTCAGGGTGTTTAGGGAGGACCAAAGGAGACAAAAAATAAGAAATCTGTGATATCAAAACTGAGTATTTTTTTACCAAAAGAAGGGGTTTTTACAAAAAAAAAAAAAAAAAAAAAAAAAAGAAAAAAAGAAAAACTCTTACTTGAACTGTAAGAACCAGTAAAATGAAATGTTCAATTCCTGTGAAGACCTTTATTTTCAACAAACAAAACCTGTATGCTGTGAGAACACTCACTAGGCTGATTCTCTTGTTATAAAAATATGAAATGCCCAACATACCCAAGAAAAGACCCAATCTCTCAAGAGCTCCAAATCCAGACAGGAAGAAGGTAAAGCCACCCTGAGGAGCCTGGGCACTTCTCTAATGTCAGTGACTGACTGAAAAGCATCCCCAACCTTACAGTGATGATCAGCAGGGGCAAACTCTCCAGCTGGTGTGAAACTTCATCTCCTTGAGACCTGCCATAGCTTGGACAGTTCTGTTTGGGTGCTGGCACTGGGAAGTCATGGTCCAGATCAGGGGCTACTGTGCTAGACACTGTATAAAGATATCACAAAAAGGCATGTGGCAGCAATGCCACACAGTTGTGGGATTTCTTTTTGTTTTAATTGGAAAAAAACTCAACCCTGCTGTTATCTGATGCTCTAGGTCTATGTACAAAGCACATTTAAAAATACAATAGGCATTCAAATGGGAACATTATTAATTAAAAGCCTCCACGTACTGTACAAATGAAACATTCTTCTCTCTACCTACTCAAGTCATTCATTCAGAAAAATCCTGGGAAAATAGTTAGGCTTTGCAATGTGCCCCATAGGTCAATGTATTCAGACTCCCAACAGACCAAGTGGAAGGAGTGAGTTCCAGAACAGCAAAATCTTCACTGCCAACTCCCTCTCAAAGGGAGCACATTCAGAAATGTGCACACTCACAGGAAAAAGTCTCTAGCTCTTTACCCAGCTCCAATTTTAAATGAGTCCTTTAATATATGTATGTCCAAGCAAGGAAGAGGTGCTGACCTATGTTCCTGCCTGGAGCACAGCAGTGGGAAGGACTTTGAAGCCCTGTAGGGTTTCAGACCCACAGCTTGCCTGCCTTAGTTTTTTTTCTACTGTGTATGTCCTAAAGGGATCAATTTATACTATATATTTATATTTATACCACAACAACCCCTTTTCTCTATGTCCAGCTACACCATGTCCCTTTTATTTAATAACAGAGGTGTCCTTGAGAGCCAAACTGTCCCTGGGCAACCCAGTGACAGGATGTTCCAGAGCATATCCGTAAGTGCTGGTCTCACAACTGTTTACTTTTATGAAAGTCCCATATCAAAAGTCCTTTTTTAGTATAAGGATGGGTCAAAGTCTGTCTGCTGAAGCCAGAGCCAAATTTGCCTCATGCTTTAAAGTTTGGTGTTGTATTTCAGATCCATCCCCTAAATCAGACTGGCTTTCACTGTTCAGATCAGAACAATCCCTATCTTATTTGCTTGCTGGCTGCAAAACAGTAGGAAGATTGTCAATACCCTGCCCAGGCTCTAATTAAAAATCCAAACTCAAATTTAATATTTCAAACATTATTTAAAATATATTAAGATAGTCAGTCTATTGCTGTTGCTCATTACTCTGTTGAAACCTAATATTAGTAACAGCATGTACAGAGGACCTGGAGCATGAATTAATAATGAGGTGCTTGTGCTGGAAAACATGCAAGTGCCTGGTTCCCCAAGCTGGCAGGGACTGCTTTGCTCTTCTCTGC